AAGGGCTTCGGCCGCAACTCGCACCTGGTCAACCACCTGCGCGTGCACACGGGCGAGAAGCCCTTCCGCTGCGGCCAGTGCGAGAAGCGCTTCAGCGACTTCTCCACGCTCACGCAGCACCAGCGCACGCACACGGGCGAGAAGCCCTACACGTGCATCGAGTGCGGCAAGAGCTTCATCCAGAGCTCGCACCTCATCCGCCACCGCCGCATCCACACGGGCAACAAGCCGCACAAGTGCGCGGGCTGCGGCAAGGGCTTCCGCTACAAGACGCACCTGGCGCAGCACCAGAAGCTGCACCTGTGCTAGGGCCGGGCGCAGGGGGCTGCGCTCGGGGAGCTGGCGGGGTGTAAGTATCCCGGGGGCAGGCCCTGCAGAAAGGCATGGGAAGGGCGGGAGGGACAATCTGAGAGTGACGGGGGCCCTTTTGGTGTTAGGGAGCGTTAAGAGGTGTTCTTTTGGTGCTACGTTTTGGGGACAACGAAGGAATGTTTTGGAGATGTGCTTGGGCGTGCTGACTCCCTCCAACACTCTAGGAGCTAAGCGGGCACTTTGAGGACCCTGAGGAAATGGGGTTCGGGTGGGGGGGAACAGCGTGGCAGACCAAGAGTAGGTTGGGCTGCGATGTTCTGTGGGAATCAGGAGAGGGTGTAGTTGGAGTGAGGGTCATGGAGGGTCATGGCGTAAAAGAAAAGGTGGGTGTGAATAATTCTATCCTGGGTGTACCAGGTGTGAAGCCACCGTTTGCCCTGTCCCCTCTCCCCCGCCCCCCATCAGCTCGAGTCCCACGAAAAGCAGAGGAACCCTGCCATCCTGCGGGAGGATATACCGGCCGCTCTCCTGTCTCTGAGCCACAGTTAGCTGCTGTTTGGGGGCATCCAGGGGAAGCTGGGCAGAAAAGCTGCACACCCTCATTTCAAAGGTGAAACTCGGACATTCACTCATAACTGGTTTTCAGATCTGGGGAATCTGGTTCTTTGCTGTTCCTTTGAAACGTCCGGGTTTCGTGCGGGGCCAAGGTGGTCTGTGGTGAGCGGGCCCTGCCCCCAGGGCCAGGTGTGCGCCTGGCTCCGTGTTTCTTTCGGGTCTCCCTCGTGACCTTCTACCTGCAGGGACAGGGAACCGTCCCAGCTCTGGGCGCCTTTCCCTTTCCCGGGTCAGCTGGGTGCTTATTTCAAGTGAACCTCAGACCATCCACAGTGGCCCCGTGACCTGCTGCACCCCCACCTTCACTCCTGTTGACCTGGGCTCCGGTCTGAGTAGAAACTTTTTTTTTTTTTTTACACGAAGGCACAGTAGAAAGCTCCAGGCTTTATACAAGGAGGGCACAGCAGGGAGAGGAGTAAATGCAAAGCTGCCAAGTAGCACAAGCAGTGAATGTTTCCTGGTGGTTCTACAAATGCCAAACGAGCACTTTTATATTTGTAAAGTGCTTTATGCTTTTTAATGATTGTCAGTTGCTCCTCAGATCTCTGTGAGGCGGATCAGTGTTCTGGCCCCTGTCTTGGGGAGGGCCTGGGGACAAGAGTCCCGAAGGCTGCTCTGAGGAGAGGCTGTGACAGTGTGGACAGCTGTGGTCTGACCTTTTGTGCTCTCAGCTGCTAGGAAGACTTACCGTTGTGATTTATGTAACGAAACCAGGACACTGCACATGCGTATGCGTGACGGGACACTGAAGGCTCGTCTGGAAGGGCCACAGATGTCCTCGCTGACAAAGCTGGTCTTTGTCGCATCACTAGGGTGTCCTCGGCATGTTACGTGTCCTGGGGGGGCTGTGGTTAGATGACTCTGGTGTAGGTTTCAGTTCCCTGGGCTGAGCCCCTCCCCTGGGTTAGCCTCTAGAAGTCATAGTGGTGGGAAGCAGCCTTGTTTTCTCACTAGCGATGGGTACCCTGTACTTTTCACGGAAGCATCTTCACAAACTGTTGGATACACGTGAAGGGAAGACAACCATAAGGTTGTTTTTACAATTCAGCAAATTTTCTGGGGATGCTGGTCATTTATACTTGATTTGTTGTATTCTAGCAAAGACCCTCCTTGGGGGGGCTGTAGGGACGCATGTTCATGTCATTATAAAAACACCTTTTAAAAGAATCCTGAGAGTTCTGGGCTTGTGTGATGCTTGATGATCTTGCCCTCTTAATCAGGGGATTGTTATTCACAAATGCAACTAGATTTTCGAAATATAGTTTTGGAAGACACGGATTGTTCTTTTAAAATTTTCTTTGAGTTGAGAGTAATACGAGCAAAGCAAGTGTCATTATTTATTCTGAATTGTATAGTCTATGAAGTGTATGAGGCTCACCTGAAAATACTATGGCCCATTTGTAGGTAATCTTGTTCCTTTTTCCATGCACATCTACCTCTCCCGGCTGTTTTAGGTTCTCTCAAGTCTGTGCCTATGAAATCGCACCAAACGTTTGCTTCTTCATGGGTTGACTCTCCACTTTATGGGTTACTTGGCCTTTTGCTGCCGTTTGCACAGTCGGGTCCGCGTCAATTACGTTACCTGTTGGCAGCTTTTGAGAAAGGCTTCAAGGGGGAGAGGAGGTGGAAGTTAATGTAATTTAGAGGCAGTGGGAATCTTTGGGGTTCATTGACCTCTTGTTCTTTCTGTTCCCGTGGCTAAGAAGAGACAGCTACTGCTCCCGGGTCCCCTCCGCGAGCAGACCAACCATCAGCACCCACTCTGACGGTGCATCGCAAATGTGATTCCATTTTTCTTACAATTCTTCAGGGAACATATCTGCATGGAGTGAAATGAAATGCGTTCAGGGGTTGGTTTCTTGGATTTACTTTTAAAATAATAGTGTTTCTCAAGCAAACCCTGTTACCTGTGGTTCACCCTTACAAATGTTAATCGGAAGACTCCGTCTACCAGCTCATTACGGAGGCTGGAGGCAAGTGTATCATTTGCTTCCTGGGAGTTTGGTCCAGTGCAGGCTGCGTTTTGCTGAGCAGAATCCGGTGCAGAGTAAACAGGTGAAATGGCTTGCTGCCATCGGGAGCTCCGAGTTGGAAGGAGATGACTGGTGAACCCCTTGAGCCGTGTGGCTGTCCATATGTGAAAAGTGCAAATGAAGAACCTGTGTTCACAGACCATTGGAACTGAGCTTCTGAAGTTTGTGCGCCCCTCCCTCCACTGTGATGTTACTTTACAGCTGATTGTTCAAAAAGTGAATAATTTAATGACCCTAAAAGTAACTGGTTTTGTGTGTGTGCTTGTGTATGTGAGAATTGCCTTATTTTCCCCAATTGTTTTATTTAATGATGGCTCCCTGGACAGCATTCTGGTGTTCAAGCAGCCGGTATGGAATATGTGTCATTAAATCCATGTCAGTCTTTCACCGTGCCATTCTTTATTCTTTATTTGTCACCATTATGTGTCAGGTCACTCTGTGGAAGCTGTGTTCACCAATGCCAGTCGATTTGTAAAATAGAGTTTCTGGTAGGACAGGGGTCAGCAAACTGCCAAACCCAGACTGTGTCTTTTTGCAGGTAAAATTGTATTGGAACACAGACCCATACACAGTGTCTGGGGCTGCTTTTGGACTACAGTGGGCAGGTTGAGTAGTTGGGACAGGGGTCTCCATGGTCCACAATCCTACAGTATTTACTATCTGGTTCTGTATAGAAAACGTTTGCCGACTCCCGTGTTAGAATGTGCAGGTGGATCACATCATCCCGGGGTTAGCTGATGTCTAACTAGGCCTCCCATTCTGACCATCGCAGCACTTCTGCACTGACGCGGCTTTGAGATGATGGGAATGTGTTCATGGTGCACCATTGGGATCGGTTTCCAAAGATCTGGGTCTCATTCCTTGTGAGAACCAGTCTGTGGGAAATTTTGGCTGTGGGCAGGGGAAGGTCTTTATGGAGAAAGAGAGGCAGTTTTAGGTCTTGCCGCTAATCTATTTCTTAAAAATCTATTCCTGAATCACCTAGCAAAGTATTTTCTTTCCCCCAGTTCTCAGAAATGTAACTTAATGGCCACTGATAATACTGAATGCGGCTTATCAGTTAAGACCGGCCTTTTGCTTGATGTGTTATTTTGCTAGTCTCTGCCCAGCCTCGTAGTGGAAACAACAAGACAGCAGTTTGTAGGAAGGGAATCACAAGCATGAAGAACACCTTGTTTTCTTGTCATGGCGGGGACTGCCTCCTGGTGTGAGTGCCCACAGCCCTTGCCCTGCTGAGCGGAGCCAGCGAATGCTGGGCCCTGGCCTGCAGGGAGGCGGTCAGTACTGTGACCACAGCGTTCCTTCCCCAGCCTGGCTCTTCTAGGTTGAAGAACCACCGTCTAGCTCCTGGTCCCTGGGAAAACGACAGGTGTCTCTTGGGAAAATGATAAGTAAACCAAGTCAGTGCCCTGGGCGGGCAGCAGTGCACCTGGTCTGGGCCACACCCCGAAGGGATGCTCGGCCTGCGTGCTGTGAGAGCAGGCCTCTCTGTCCACGGTCCAGTTCAAGAAGCTGTATTTTGGTCAACTTGGAATTTTTGAAGCTTCATTAGCTTAATACCAAGGTTTTCTTAACCTTAACTGCACAGATTTACCTGGAAAGCTGTAAAAACAAACAAAAACTAACTGTTCAGAGATTGGTTCATTGGTCTGGGATAAAGTCCAATTATCTGTAATTTTATACATGCTTCCCAGTTGAGCCTCCAATCCTCTCCTCTGCTGAGGGCATTGGCAGAGGCACAGGCGAGGCTGCCCGTCTGCTCTTGGTAGGCCTGCCTTCCACACACACCTTCTCCAAATAGTTACAGACAATAAGTAAGGGCAAGGGACAATACCGCTCTTTGAAGTTCACCAGATAAAACCAGATGGCCATTGTGGGCTGCAGCTGGCCCTCCTTCGGCTGTCAATCAGACTGCCATTTCCCCTCTGCCATTTTTTTAATGTACAGTACTGGTTTCAGGTGTACAGCTTAATACTTTACCTGGTATTCCCCTCAGTATTGGTATTTCCAGCACCACACGTAGCTTCACAGTATTTCTGACTAGGTAGCCTATGTGGTACTTACATCCCTGTGACCATTTTCTGACTACCTACCCATTTGTGCTTCTGAGTCCCGTCACCTCTTTCACCCAGTGCCCCCACACCCCTCTGGGAACCCCCCGCTCTCCGTTTCTATGAGTCTGTCTCTTCATTTGCCATCTGGGCTCACTTATCAACCCAAAACTCCATGCCTCACTCCTGTTCTCAGCTGCCCTGGGCAATGTCGTTTCCTAAGCCTTGCCCCTGGAGGGGAAGGCGAGGAGCACACCCAGCAGGTCTCCGGTTTGAAGGGACTAGCATAGGGCTCTTGTCTCCCCGGGCAGACCTCCAAGTGTCTGCAGACCACAGTTCCCCGCTGCCCGCCTGTGTTTTCAAGGTCACCTCTGCTAACCCAAAGCACATTGCAATGGCTTTCAATCATCCACTGCCCCAGTGAGAGCCGGGCCCTGTTCACAGCCCTCTCTGTGTCCATCCGGAGGCCTGCCTCATCACAGCAGCGGGGAGGCTCGGGTTTGGAAACCAGAGGGGGGTGGCAAGGTGTTCCACATACCAAGTTGCCTTGTGCTTGACAAGAGGTATCCGTATTAGTGCTGGATGAAGCCGGCATTCCCACACGTGTAGAGGGTTTCATCCTGAATGAAGGGTTGGTGGTCCTGGGCCTCACGGGTTACTGGAGAGCAGGGATTCCATGGAAGCAGTCCATTCATTCACAGGAGATCTTCCCCTGAGATCCCTCCCCTGACCCGAGGGCTGGAGTGATTCTCCTGCAGGGATGTTCGCAAACTGTTAGAATGGGTTTGGGGATCTGGCCCTGGTGGGCTAAGGGGAGAAGAGGAGAAATGCTTTAATAAGGCTCCAAGTATTCTCCCTTGGAGAATACTGAATGCAGCTTATCAGCTAACACCGGCCTTTTGCTTGATGTATTTTTTTGCTAGTCTCTGCCCAGCCTCGTAGTAGAAACAACGAGACAGCAGTTTGTAGGAAGGGAATCACAAGCATCAAGAACACAAGAACACAAGATGGTACCTTCAGGGAGGCTCAGGGTGAACTGTAAGTTGGGGTCACTGCTGCTGCAATTCAGGCAGCGACCATGTCGCCTGGCTCTGCTGGGTGGGGGAAGGTAGGTGACTTGGAAAGGCTTGTGAAGCAAGCGACTGCTAAAGAGCTGGCTAGACATTTTGTTGTTGTTGTTAGGCCTACTGTTAGGAAGTGTCTGAGCCAAACCAGACCTTTGGCAGATGAGAACCATGGCCAGGCTTCGGCTGAAGCAGCTCTACTGCTCTCTGGGTTGATTTGAATGGAGATTGTAGGAGTCACCGGTATTACTTCATAGCCAGAGGCCTCTGGACCGAGGGAGGCACTGTCCAGTGTTGCTGTAGCTGTAAACCGGGCACTAGAGGTAGACTTAATCTTGCCTTTCCTGTGCAGTGGGAAGATGCCGGTGTGAGGTCTGGGGAGAAGGCTAAGGAGAATAAAACGTGAAGGTTCCTGGCAGGTTTAGGACAGTGCAGAGGTTAGGAAACAAGGTGGTCACGGGGTGATGTGTTGTATGGTAGCTCCTAGGAGCCCAGGAGGGGAGAGGCAGTTGCTCACATGCAGACTGTGTGCTCTGGGATTTCAGCTCCTGGGGAAGGAGAGGAGGAGGTGCGAGGCCATGACCTTCACTTTCCTGGGGACAGAGGAACCAGCCCGCCTGTCTCTCTGAGGGCCTGCTCTGTTGGGGAGAGTGCAGGGAAGGGCTTTGGTGTTCACTGGCTGTGGTCTTGAGCAAGGTTCCGATTTTTCTGGGTCTCTGTTTCCTCTTCAGGAGGCACTATCTCTACGGACTCTGCCTACTCTGATGCCTAGTGGTTGTCAAAGAGCTTAAAACCCACTCGGTAAGCACCCATAGCTCAAGGAAAGAATGAGGACGGGATAGGCTTGTAATCTCAGAGGCAGGAGAGAACTGGTATTTGGCGGGGGGCGGGTCCTCTTGGTTCCTGGCCTTGGTCCTCTACAACTAGGCGGGTATTATGCCCCTTTACTAAGGTACAGATGAGGTGCCGGTGCCAGGAGTACTGGGAAGAGTTAGGAAACCACAGTCTCAGCTTTGGCTTCACACTAGCACACCAGCACTCAAGGGGAGGACTGTGATCGCCAAGGCTAGCTGCGGAAGTATGGAGGTCAAGGATACGCAACCGACTTACAGCTGCCCAGTGTCCCCGGGAAGAGAACTTGGAAATGGGCCACACCTTCATTGGGCAGATAAGGGAACAGACCCAGGTAAGTAAAGGAATTGTCTCACCTTGACGGCAAAATGGAAAGAGAACCTATTTCACTCTCTGCGTGCAGGACCCGCATTCCACAAGCTGAGGTTGGATGGCTGGAACTGTGCGGGCTCCACGGAGGCTCAGGCCGCTGGAGCGCTGGTTAAGCCTGCCTCTGCCTTTCCCCCACTGGACAAATGTGTTGGTGGGGCGGCCTCCTGGCCCCGTGCCTTCCTGGGCCCTGGGAGGCTGTGCAGCCCCCTCCCCCTTTCTCAGCACTGAGCTCTCAGGCCAAGCTCAGGTGGGTGTGGAGCACAACTGTGTCTTTCTTAGGAGACAACTCGAACTTGGACAACCTTCACTCCACTCCCTAAAAAATCCTGTTTTTCCTGTCCCGAGTCCCTGTCTTTAAGACCATCGTCTTCCTTCTTTCCTTCATTCCATGTGTTGATTGGGTGTTGACTTTGGGCCAGATGTGAGGCTACGGCTGGGCACAGGTGGTGGGCACAGGTGGTCAGCACAGGGTCCCGGGGCGCCCTCCCAAAGTCCACAGTGTAGTCCGGGAGACAGGTTAATAAGCAACCGCCCTGGACCAAGACAGGTGCCTAGCGGGGGCACATGCACCCCTCCCTGGAAAACTGGAGACTTCCGCAGGCACGAAGAGGGAGGGGCGCCAAGGGAATGGAATGTGTTGCAGACAGGAGGAACTCATTTCCCTCATATGCCCATAATCACATGACTGGTATTAATAAAGGGCTTTTAGTTTGCGAAATTTAAACCCAAACATTGTTTTCTTACTATAACTATGTCAAATTAGCCTTGGATGGTAGTAAATGCCAATTTTTAAATGATTAAATTCTGTTCACGGTGTCATCTTCAATGCCACACCTAGCGGGAGCTGCCTCAAGAATGGTGTAGTCACTATGCTAAGTAAAATCTGAAAAGATCCCACCAGTTTAGAAACACAGTATTCCAATCCCGTGACTCCTTATAATAAAATTCTCCATTTGTGAGTGGAAAAAAAAAAAAGGCAACCGAATTGGAGGGTCCGCGAGGGGCTTGGGGTCCAGCCAGCCGAGGCTCAGCAGTTGAACCCGCCCTGGCACGCGGGCAGATGGAGCCGCGCTGGTGCCTTTGGCTGCGGCGGGCGGCTGGGCT